GAAAGTATCGGTTTTTTCGTCAATTTTCAAATGTTCGAAATTCGATTTGAAACTCGCTGCTAACAAATCTCCGTTTAAACTGTTCTGTTATTGGTACGGAATATGGAGAAGATTTGACGTATTGTTGTGCAGACGCATCGAAGCGGTTAGAGGATAGTTTGCGATATTTGCGAAATGTACGAAAATGGGAATAGCATGTTGGTATCATCGGGTATTATATTCGAATTGTAAGTGTGAATATTATACGTGTGACGGGGGAACGGGGTGTTACGATCAAGTTATGTTACACTGGATTATCTCGTTGTTGATTTGTGAAGAAATCTGTCGGTTGTGCAAAATGAGGTGTGTATCAGGTGAGAGTAAGAATTAATAAAATATGCACTAATTAAAATTCACACGTCAAAAACGTGAATTAAAATATTTTCGTCTTTATCTACTTTATTTACAGATTTTAGTAGGTTTCAGTAGACACTTCGAGAATTCAGTAGTTTCTCAGTAAAATTTAGTAGATTTCAGCAAATTTCAGCAAATTTTAATAGATTTTGGTAGATTGCAGCAGGGTTAAGTAGAGTTCAGTGAGATTTAGCAAACTTCAGTAAATAGAATTCAGTAGATTTTAATAGATTTTGGTAGGTTTTGGTAGATTTTAGTCAAATTTAGTAGACTTCAGTAGAATTCAGTGGATTTTAGTAGATTTTGGTAGATTTCAGTAGATTTTAGTAAAATTTAGTAGACTTCAGTAGAATTCAGTATGCTTCGCATTCGGTATAATAACCATCCAAATACCCACGAACCCGACTGTACCTCTCGCGTAAACGATTGACCATTCTACACGTTTACGAATTGATACCGCGCATAGAGACTAACGCTTCTATATTTTTACGTGATGTCCGTTTTTAAAATAATTCCAATATTCGTTGACCGTTCCAGATAAACCAGATGTACCATGTTGAATCATTATTTCCGTCACTGACCCGCCAACGTATTTCACAGTCATCCCCAACTGATCCGACAGAACCGTACAAGCTTTTCCCTATTTACTTTAATCTTTCTTATACAACTGTGTAAAATCCTAGTATTATTTTTTGAAAGAGTTTCGCTCGGAATATATACGTTTACCAAAAAAGAAAACCACAGGTGTATTACAGAAGAAAATCCACGCAACTAGCCGCGGTTTGTTAACTCTGTAAATATCGGTTCTGAATGAAAATTGGCGTGAACGAAAATTGAATATCTTGAGAAAGACTGCACAGTGCAATATTGAAATAAATTTTTAACGCTTTTCGTCTCCCGGTTTTCAGATTTACCTTTCCCTTTAATACGAAGGTTCCCTCTTCTTTATTGAAACATTTGTGTGACAAAGAGGAATATGTATTTTAAAAGCGCTCGTTTCATGTAATTAAATTGTTCTTCAGCTGTGATTTAGTGTGATATAAGTTACTTCCTTATTATTTCGTTTATTTCATTTATTTCATTTATCAGCTGCGATGTAAATTATTTTATTGTTATTTTATTTAGTACCAAGATACACTGTGTAAATTATGCTTTCCACTATTTTCTGCGCAGAATAATTACGCGAAAAACGAAACAGGAGACGCAATGAAAATATGTAAATACGTTTCAAAGTAGATGTTACAATATTCAACATGCTGATATTTTCCTGTCTTTCATTTTCATCGATACTTCAAATATGCATTCAACCGGACGTTTTAAACTGAAAATACTCACGATAAATACTACAACTTCTGATTATTTATAGTAAAAAAGTACGTATATAAAATAACAAAGAAAGTAAAAACAACAAAGTGACTTTTACCATATATTGGTAATTAATCGTTCAAATTTCCTATTAATTACACTTTTGCAAACGCTTTCTCCGTAAACACAGTATCTTCATTCCCTTGATCAAATTTTCACGACAAATTCGAAATTTGTTTGCCGTATAAGGCAAAAAACGGCGCAGCGTGGATATTGAAAATATGAAAATAGGCCACTTTATGATACACTTCTGCGAAAGAGACAAAGAAAAAAGGAAAAGTTATACTCAACGTTGACAACAACGACACGTATTATACATCTTCGTTAACGGTCTGTGTACAAGCAATTTGCATTTCATTAAAAAATTTCGCGTTAAAATATTCAGTTTAAGACAGTGGGTGATTCGTCAAATAATCTATTCAAAAAACTTGGCAAACTTTTATATTAAAAGCCCGGAAGAAAATTAAGAGGCTCTCCTCTCTCTCTCTCTCTCTCTCTCCCGTTACAAGTTGATCTAAATTAAATTTCTTCTGTCGCAACTTTCCCTTAATCGTTCGTCCCATCTAGCTCTACCGAATGGGCGCATTCATCCCGCATGAATTTACCAATTTCTTATCGAGCTGATTTTATCGAAAAAAACATCATCCGTTTGGGCTGTCAATGAGCAAGAACAAAAGGTCGCGTCGCGACAAGAAAACTGCAGGTTGAAGCAAGTTAGAAAAGATTTCGCTAACTGCCGATAAGAACCTTATCGTCTTAATTAATCCTGTGAAGTGACGACGCGACGAAAAATCACTTTCAACCTTAGCCATTTACGGCGCCGCGCCGTCAACTTTAGATTGAATGTTGAAAATCGCCGGAGAGATTCCATATTTTAACCGTTAATTTCTTGCGTTAAATTTACAGAATTGTAACTAGGTAACTAAAGGTAATGTAACTGTAGTATCGTGAAAATGTTTCGAAAACTGAGAAAATTAAGAAATTCATTCTTTCCTTAATTAATGATCACCAAAAAATTATCGTCGCGGAGAATTTTAATATTTTATCCATTCCGAATATTATATACGGTCACGTTGACATTGTTGAATAAAATAGTATATTTTTTCTGCTGTCAGAAACTATGTAAATTTCTAAGAAAAATTAACGATCACCAAAAAATTATCGTCTCCGAGAATTTCTCAATTTTTGATTCTTTCGGAGTATTATACGCGGCCACGTTGGCATTGCAAAATAAAAGGTACCTATATTCCTTTATGCATCAAATCGTACATATTGTTTTGCATAGTTGAAGCGACGTGTGAATATAAGATCACTGAAAGCTATTTTAAGTCCTTTTGTTACGCGGTAGCGTTGTGCGCCTTGATGACGTGAATTAAGCGTGTAATGGTTTTACGAGCGCTCGTAAAAGGAAGAAAAGGACGAGACGATGCACAGAAACGAGTATATAGAGTGTGAATAAATTGAAATGTACACTTTCCAGAAATTTGTTTCTCTATGTCGATGAATCTAATTTTCTTCGTTTCCATATTTTCGATGGTACTTAAAGCGACAGTGTATGATTACTGTTGTGCGCTAAAGAATGTTTTCAATTGGGGCATAAAATGGAGCAAGCAATGGTACAGAAAGAGAATATTTCAAAATCAAAAATGTGACGAATTGAAATTGGAAAAATTAGGAATAAAATTTTTAGAGAAATTTTTGTATCACCACTTTACAGGTAATCTTTACTTTTCTATTAATCCGTGTATAATATAGAAACTTTGTAAAATAGTAAGATTTTATAAGTTGTTAAAAACCTCGAAGCATTATCGAACGATAATCTTGGAAAATAATTAATTTCCCTAAAACCATTTCTATTTTATAGTTGGGAAAATTATCGGACTTTTCAATACATTGCATTAAAGGATCAATTGAATTGCTTTTATCAGGTGCCAGCAAGCCTGGAATTTTATCTGGCGTTTGTTTTTTTCTACCTTTTCGAATGCAAAATTATGGTTTAAAATTTATTCTACGGCGGCACTAACTTACTCAATAATGTCTTTTGCATTGGATAAGTAATAAAATAACGATCGCGCTATAAAATCTTGCACGTACCTCTGCCCGTTTATTCGAGTCATTTATAGATTCTATTAAGTTCCTTATCAGAAGTTGTACAATATTAATTGGAAGAGGGGAAAATTATTCGCAATATTTGTGCAAATCTGAATATTAATTACTTCGCAGCTACATCGGAACGTTCGAAATCAACGAAGAATTTAACGCGTTTCGAATGTTACAAAGTAATCATTTCAGAAGCTGTTACAACTGATAGAAAAAAAAAAAAAAACATTTATCTAGGCAACGAGGTATAATCTTGGCTATAATTAGAAAATTACCATATTTAAGAACGTAAAAAGAACGTTACAGATTCGCAAATATTAATTTCACGGTTCGCCAGATAAAGAATGTTCGACGTTCAATTCCTCGAGACGTACTACTTGCCGTTTCATATATACGTAATATAAGTAAGAAATGTCGTATAAACACAGGTCGTTTGAAGTGTCGTTGCAAAGTTACAACAAAAAATCCCCTCCTATTACCGTATTATCGTCGTAACTTCTCAACGAAGCTTCAAACGACCCATGTTCACATAACATTTTCTTCTTACCCATACCCATAGAACGTACTGACGAAGTTTCATCGGAAACAATCGGGGACACCCGGTATATTGTACAGTAAACTAGCGTTATTCATTTGAATAGTTGGAAAAAAAAAACACGACGACACGGTTATGATTCCAGGAATAAACATAAAACGTTCATGGAAACATGTGAAAGATGGTTATTCAGAAAAATCACTATACACGCATTCCCCTTTTCTACATAAACCTGCGCGGCGTGCCTGTGGCTTATTTCATTAAGCTTAATAAATTACATAAGAGCTGTTAAATTTTCATAAAACAATCGTACCGTTCGCGAAGCTAGGGGTGGTCTCAAACTTATGGCGCGCAATACACGTACATACGAGAAACCAGCCAGATTCGTATCCCTCGTTTTATTGTCCCGAGACGCCGGCTAAGTGTATTAGCATTATTCATGACTAATGGGAATAATGAGAAACGTGATTACCGGTAATGCCGTACATTATTTTCTGTCTATAGCGCAACAACGTTCCCGTTACGGGCAAGGGATAAACCGTGCGCGCGCCCGGTGTGGACTATGTACGTTTAAACGTTTCCTATTTGTTTGGCACTGCTTACTTACACGCTTTGCTACGCAGGTCCCAAATTTTTAGGGTACGATCGTAACTGCCGGTAACTACTTTTGAAGGCTCGCCAAGAAACTTCGCCGCCATCACCTTCCCGCAGTGGCCTGTTAGAGTGTGCTGAAACAGAAATGGAAATGTCGTTTTGGAACATTTACCAACGCGTTCTGCGTGATAATACGGGCATTTGTAATGTACGTGACGTATTAAAAAAGCTTAGGAGCAATTCGCGGTTGAATTCTATCGGCGAGCATATTGCTTGGCAGGGAACTATGGCAACTTTTCTGATCGTTTCAACTGTGGACAAAAATACCGTGTCATGCAGGTTATAGACGAAACGGTACATTGCAGACGTGAAACTTGTGATTGTATGCATATGAGAAAAGGTGAAGAATATGTTTCTTTTTTAATTTTCTTTGAAAAATTTTGGGTATTTTAAATGTGAAATTGTAGAGAAAATTGTTTAAGGATAAAATTTGTATACAATTATAGAAGCTTGATTAATGGAAAGAAATATTTCTTGAGATTGTGTATAATGCCACTTCAGTTCCCAATGCTTTTACTGATAGTAAATAAATGTTAAATAATAAATGATTTAACGAGAATTTTGTTACTTCGTAATTAAATCAGGATACAATTAACGTAAAATATTTTGTGAATCACAATTTTAAGTGGATACAACATACAACAAATTTATGGATTCTTAAGTAAGATGAATAATTTTGTTGACATTATTGTTCGAGTAAATCATTTAGAAAAAATAGCATTTAATGCTTGCATGCACAAAGCAAAGAAGGAAACCTGCATATATTTATTTTGTGAAAGGTAAACACCATGCTTTTACGATAACGTAAAATTTTACAAATATCGATGTATTATTTAGTCAAAAAAAGCTACTACAATTATACACAAGACCGTATTATTCACAAATACTCCTAAAACATGCAAAACGTAATATGTACTACAGCCGAGGAAGCTTAGACCTCATATTGGGTTTCTTTTTCAAAGAAATTCCGTTCGAAAATCTTCTATCTAGAGGTGTTATTTATAGTGGTGTAGAAATATGTTGAAAATGTATAATGACGTTTTCTTTGCGCGGATCCTTTGTTCCCGTATGAGTTGAGGTTGCAAATTGATCGAGATGTAGGTCGCGGTTGCAGTAGCAGGAAAAACACTTTTATATCGTTGAACGGTGATTTTTAAGTAGCAAGATACTTTTATTTCACTGGTCATCTTTGAAACTTGAATGCACACCTTGTTGCAGTCTCTATACTCGAATACAACATCGATGGAAGCACTATTTCGAACGCAAAACATTGCTGTGCGCGTTACTTTTGAATGCAACATTGCTGGAAGCGTTATATTTCAACGCAAACATTGTTGGAATCTCTATATCTGATTGCAACATTATTAGAAGCGTTATTTCGAACGCAAACATTATTACAAGCACTACGCTTGAATGTAACATCGTTACAAACGTTGTTCTCGCTTGTAACAACGTTAACTCGTATTATTTTCGAATGCACATTGTGGCAAACGTGACATCGAGTTTACAACTTTGTTGCTGCGAGTGGCTCCCGAAAATCGCACATTGTTGCAAACGCGTTCTGGGTTTGCAACTTTGTTGTCGAAACTCGCTCCCGAAAATCGCACATTGTGGCAAACGCGTTCTGGGTTTGCAACTTTGTTGTCCACGAAAATCGCACATTGTTGCACGACGCCCCGTTTTGCAACAATGTGCAAGTTTCGGGAGCTGCTTTCGGCAACAAAGTTGCAAACGCGATTATTCTTTTGCAACCTTGTTTCAGAAAGGCGCCCCCGAAAATTGCACAAAGTTGCAAAAGGAGTATCGCGTTTGCAACTTTGTTGCCGAAAGCAGCTCCCGAAACTTGCACATTGTTGCAAAACGGGGCGTCGTGCAACAATGTGCGATTTTCGTAGGCAACAAAGTTGCAAACCCAGAACGCGTTTGCAACATTGTGCAGTTTTCGGGAGCGACTTTCGGTTACAAAGTTGCAAAAGGAGTAATCGCGTTTGCAACAGTGTGCGATATTCGGGAGCGACTTTCAACTACAAAGTTGCAAAGGGAGTAACGCGTTTGCAACTTTGTTGCTGAAAGCAGCTCCCGAAACTTGCACATTGTTGCAAAACGGGGCGTCGTGCAACAATGTGCGATTTTCGTAGGCAACAAAGTTGCAAACCCAGAACGCGGTTGCAACAATGTGCGATTTTCGGGAGCGACTTTCAACTACAAAGTTGCAAAAGGAGTAA